TGTGTCTGTGTGTCTGTGTGTGTGTGTGTATGTCTGTGTGTGTCTGTGTGTGTCTGTGTGTGTCTGTGTGTCTGTGTGTGTGTCTGTTTGTGTGTCTGTGTGTGTCTGTGTGTGTGTATGTCTGTGTCTGTGTGTGTGTGAGTGTGTCTGTGTGTCTATGTGTGTGTAATCACACGTGTGTGTGTGTGTGTGTGTGTGTGTGTGTGTGTGTGTGTGTTATAAAATATCACCACAACTTCCCCTATTCCACCCAGATGAGTAGATCCAAAGTCATAGCAACTTTTCCTGTATTGCAGACAATGAAGCATTCTCAAGATGAGCCAATCCACCAATGAAACAGTTTTGCTTGTGAAGTCAATGTCTATTCAGAACCTTACGTTTAAACAATCAAGGAATCTCACCTTTACACAAGCAACGCAACACACTTGAGATGGGCCAACCCACCAGTAAAAACAACACGAGACACAGTAAATTCGTTTTATCGCTTTCTTGATTATATTTTCATCAGCTAGCATTGGGAGGCCTCCCATTTTCTTTGTTTTTGTAGTTACCTTCTTACTGTGCCTATCACGTACAAGGCTGGCCTCGTTGATGATGGTTGAGCGCCAGCTTCCCACATCCCCGTTTACCTTTTCGTTCCACTTGCACGTGTGTGTGTGTGTGTGTGTGTGTGTGTGTGTGTGTGTGTGTGTGTGTGTGTGTGTGTGTGATGATGATGTCTCTGTGTGATAATGTTTGTGACAAGGAGTACAGAGTGACCGTTCGTCACGGTTGATTGTGGATGAAATATTAAGAAGGATTTCTGCATCGTGTTTTTTGAGGGGGAGAGTTTTTTTAAGATTTCTTTCTGTTGCTAACCCCTGCTTTTAGGGCTTGCAATGAATTTGTAGCAGTGTAAATTACGAGCCAGCATGTCTACCTACGTGCCATTTGAAGAAAAGAGAAAAAAGATAAAAGTAAAAACACTGATTAGTTGACACAAGGTACAGATACACCTGAGATAACCAAGGGGAAACTCAGAAATAAGTTCAAATAACACTTCAACATAAATAAATAAATAGCCAAATAGCCAAATAGCCAAATAGACTAATAGACTAATAGAGTAATAAATCAACAATAAAAAGAGTAGTAATTCAGGATTCCTAATATCCTCTGATTGTAGAATCCTCGTCTTACTACCTCAGCATGATCCATGGGGACTATTCCACTGCAAAACGTGGTTCAGGTGGAAACAATGGCGGTGCAGAGATTGCTTTTTTTTTTTTTTTTTTTTTTTTTTTTTTTTTTGAAAAGACCCCTGCCGGTGATAGCGGTGCTGATAGGAGCAGACACCGCTAGCACCTGGGGGGGCTCCATCTATTGGTGGGGAGCGTCACCTGCTGGAAAACGGGTCCAGCGTCCCTTTATACAGAATGAATTCGAGCCATCTCAGAAAGGTTCCTGCCAGCATTGATTACCCCGGGATCCGGGGGATTGACTGAGCAGGAAAGGGGAGGGAAGGGGAGGAAGGGAGGGATCTCTTCACCCGGAACTCGGCGCCAAATATTGCTGTTATTCGCTAATTCCTCCCTCCTCCAACAAGCCCCTGTGGGCTCCAACCCCCTTCGTCTCATCAAGATGTCCTTCATCCCAGACCACACCTAGCTCCCTACTAAGTCCAGAGATTGCTAAAGACTGAATGCAGAGAATGTGGTCACACATCTTTGCACGTGCTCTGGGAGAAAACATAGTACGAAAGCGCGCTCTTGCAAAACCTCAATTCTGGTGGTTCTCTTACCACCACGGGGATAGACGCCTTGCAGAAGGGCTTTTCGTGTGTGGGGGGGGGAAGCATGCTTTTGCTTGCCCCTTTGGTCTTCAAATGCAACCAGTTCGCATCCCTGGGGGTGAGGAGGCCCGACGCGTGTCGCCATTCCATGCAAAGGATGCATGGGAGGCAGAATTTTTTATTTTTTTCCGTTTTTTCTTCGTTCTTTGAGACAGAAGCGATACGAGGTACTTGAGAGAAGTTAAAAGCGGGGAGATTTTTTTTTTTGGGGGGGGGGGGGGGGGGGGGGGGGGGGAACGAAATAGCAACCGATGATACTTTTTAAAAAAGAAAAAGAAAAAACAAAAAAAAAACTCACCTGAAAGTAGCCAAGATATCACGATGATGATCGCCACGGCCACGAAGAATGGTCCCAGAATGTGCCGCGCTGTCAAAATCTGAGGCGCGTACCCTGGAAGCTGCAAACTCAACGGTGAATAAGGATGGGATGCCATCTCTCTCTCTGTGTGTGTGTG